CAGAAATTGATCAATTATTGATTGGAAGTGTGTTGCAGGCCTCAGAATTTCAAAAAAAACCATCATGTCAATAGCAAAGGTTTAAAGAAAGCGTTTTCTATTAAATGGCAACAAGTTAAGGAGATTGTAAAGAGATATCCTACTTGCTCTTTCTATAACCAAACACTGCCACTTGCAGGGGCTAACACAAAGGGTACTCAAAGGAATGAAATCTGGCAGATGGATGTGTTCCACTTTGTAGAATTTGGCAAATTAAAACATGTACACCACACCATTGACACTTATTCTGATTTTCGGTGGACAACTGCTTTAAGTTTAGAAAAGGCCGATCACACATTTATTAGAAGTCATGGCCATTATGGGTATTCCTGCACAAATAAAGACAGATAATGGTCTAGTATATGTCTTTAGGAAAATGAAACTTTTTTTTGCTTATTATAATATTAAGCATGCTATAGGCATACCATACAATCCTATAGGTCAAGCAGTTATAGAAAGATCGAATCGAACTATAAAGGATATGTTAAACAAACAGAAAGGGGTGGAAAATGCCCCTAGAAATAGATTACATAATGCTTTATTAATCTTGAATTTTCTTAACCCTAATGAGGGAGGGACAACAGCAGCAGAGAGACATTGGATAATAGAAAAGTCTTCTGAAATAAATCACCTGGTTTATTTCAAGGATGTGCTGACCTCACAATGGAAGCCAGGAGATGTGCTGTGTTGGTGTTGGAGAAGGGGTTTTGCTCTTATGTCCACAGGAGAAAAAAAAGCTATGAATACCATCAAAATTAATAAGGATTTGGTTTGAAAAGGAGAAATCTCTTGAAAAGGAGAAATGACAGCTCATCCACAATGATGACATCCATACAGGTGATAAGGAAAGCATATAGGGTTGGGGCAGGGTTCTGTTCTTGTCTTTGCAGAAAAGTACTCATCTTCAAAAATTCAAGAGACTCTGAATGATGACAGATGGAAAAAATAACTATCCAATAAAGATCATCAAGAAAATAGAACATGATTCGTAAGTACATATGATAGACTATATACATTTATATATATGTATGTATATATATTTATGAATATATAGAGCTGGTTTTGGAGTTGGACAACAGCTGTAAATCCAATAATCCTTCTTTAAATCCAAGCATGTTGTTAAAAGAAAAATCCAGAGTTTTTGTCTCATGTCAAGAGCCATCTGGTATGGGACAGAAAGAATAAAGGATTAAAAAAATTTACTTTTCTTCATATCTATTTTTGTTTTTTATCATACCTTTCATTGAATATATATGTATCTGTATAAATAATGTTTAAGTTTTCCACAATGAACATGAATTTTCCTGCAGTAATCTTTGAAGTTTCCAGGAAGAAGATGGGGCCCCACAACAACTCCACCTGGTTGATATGACGTTATGATGCTGATAGCGCTACTACAAGACCTCTTTTGGGTACCAGTGGCTCAAGATGGTTCCAACTTGGTTAGCTGAAATGGTGTACATTTTTGCAACATTCTGGCCAGACCTCCACCAGACGTGAATCTTGGAACTTAACTGTCCCGCGCTACGGTCTCGCCAGCAAGAACGACGCGGGGCACTTAGGATACTTCTGCAGTAAAGCTTTAATGCCTCTTGAGAGGGAGAGCATCAGCTTCCAAAGCGGAGACCCCGAATGAGGGGAACCCAGCCCTTATAAAGGAAACAGTCCTCGCTTCTGACGTGTCACTCTTGGATCGGTCCACTGCCCATTATCCCAGATGATGCCTCGGGAGTAGGCAGGGACGCAGCGGTAGAGAGTTACAAAGCACGTGTGCTGGGATTAAAGGCGTGTGCTACATCACCTTGAACTCACAGAGATCTGCTTGTCTCTGCCTCCCAGGCATTGGGACCAAAGGCGTATACTACCACGCCTTGAGGTCACAGAGGTCAATCTGCCTCTGCCGCCCAGGCATCAGGACTAAAGGCGTGTGCCACCACACCTTGGGGTCACAGAGGTCAATCTCTACCTTTGTTCCTAGAAGCAATGGAGAATGTGGTCCGGCCCTCCACACTTAACCATCATTTTACTCAGAATCCCATAGAAAGAACATCACCCCCATGACAGCTGGAAGTAATTCTAGAAGATGACATCCCCCTCTCCCAAGAAAGTTTGTCCTCAGAGTTAGGTACATCATTTAGGGGTTGATTATAATTGGTATAGGGTTGGGGGTTGGGGGCAGAATTTTATAGGCTCAGGAATTTCTTTTTTTTTTTTAGTTTTTTTTTTATAATTTATTTTTATTATGTATACAATACTCTGTCTGCGTGTATGCCTGAAAGCCAGAAAAGGGCACCAGACCTCATTACAGATGGTTGTGAGCCACCATGTGGTTCCTGGGAATTGAACTCAGGACCTTTGGAAGAGCAGGCAATGCTCTTAACCTCTGAGCCATCTCTCCAGCCCCAGCTCAGGGATTTCTTAAAAATAAAAGGGAAAACTGGACTGGATAACAGATCAGTGTGAGCTTACTCACACTGTTAATAACAGTGAGTAATAGAATGAATACTTATGAGTTATAATTTATAGGCAACTACATTGGTATAGATTCTTGTATATTGATACAAAGTTAAATTATATTGAATATTGTATGCATGCATGCTTCTACCTCTGCTTAAAATATTTTTTATATATTGATATAAATTTATTATATTGCAATGTACATTTCTACCTCTGATCAAGATACTTATACATTGTTTACATATGGAGGTCATTGTTCTCATTTATTGCACAGTTGCTTATTGTCTTAGTCTTTAAGCTATATAGATATTAAGAATTATAGATCAATAGTCATCTATGCTTGTCATACTTATAGTTAGATTAATCAGGTTCTTTACATACATAGAGATTATATTCTGCATAGACAGATAATCTTCAATCACTTCAAAGAGCTGTAGAAAATGGCATTTAAATAACTTAGGGTTCTGCTGAAGTGAGACACAATTGCTCCTGGCATCCTGAGAGCACTGAAGCCACTCCACTTGGAGCTTGCTTTCTTCTAGGAAAATTGGCCTTTGTGCAAAGAAATGCCCACGTTTCAATCGCTGACAAGATATATAGTATCCGGAAATGGATAAGCAGGACTGTCAAATCTTGCCAAAACAGGGTAACACTGTTTTGAAAATTTCCTGCCTTTGAAAATGGTCTGTCAGTTATTCTAGGCCTTAGCCAAAGTTTGTTGCTTCCAACTTTGCAAATGAGACTTTGGGTGACTGTGCAGGTAGCCAGCTGTCTCTGTCATTTGTTGCACATTTTGGAAGTTGCTTGATTGCACTTCCTGCTTACTCAAGTAATATTATTTCCCTTTTCAGATCTTCCACGGGGTTGAAGACTAGATAAGTATAGTTACTTTCCTCTCATTACTTGACCAAGTTATTTATTATACAATAATTAAACTAATTAGAATAGGATATTTGTTCTTATTGTATATAATTTTGTATTAGGCTTAAAACTCTCTTATTTAAACAAAAGTGGGAGGTGCTGTAGGAAATCTTACAGCTTGTGGTTACTCGCCTACAGGGGCATGGCCTCTTATACTATAAATGCGCATGCAGAGCCTGTGTCTGCCCCTTTTTTCTTTCTTCCCTAGCTGCTCTTTCGGATTGCTGAATTCAATCTCTGTTCTCCGTTCAAGCAGAGAATTCTGATTTGTGAGTTTACAAATAAATAACCATCTATTTCTCAATTCTGAGCTAGTGTGGCATTTATTTTAAGTGTCCGTTCCACAGGGCACTGTCAAAAGTGAGTAAGTAGGTGATACAGAGATGGCCCAGTGTGTAAAAGGGCTTGCTCTGCAAACACTAGGAGCTGAATGCCCTTCTACAGCACCCACATAAAAAGCAGAACCTGTCTGACTGTACACACCTGTAACTCTAGTTTGGAAGAGCAGAGGCAGGCAGTCCTGAAAACTCACGGACCAGACTGCTGAAACCATGAGTCTCAGGATCAGTGAGAGAGGAAGATCCTGCTGTTCTGTCCTGTGCAACATCCTGAGCACTCATGTGCTCTCTCTCTCTCTCTCTCTCTCTCTCTCTCTCTCTCTCTTTCTCTCTCTCTCTCACACACACACACACACAGTAATTATTTCTCATTAAGAAAATTAATTCTTCTAGCCAGGCACGGTGGCCCGCACCTTTAATGCCAGCATTGGGAGGTAGAGGCTGGCAGATATCTCTGCGTTCAAGGTCAGCCTGGTCTACATAGCGAGTTCCAGGACAGCCATAGATACATATTGTGACTAAGACTCTGTCTCAAACAACAAACAACAACAACAACAACTCTTCCAAACGTTAAAAGAACAACCTTCTAGAGCTATCCAGGGAATTGGGCAATGGAAGAGAGGTTCTCAGCTGGGTGACTTGCACTTGCATTTTGACTCTACCTCCGCCTCCTCCCTGCCAACATCTGGCAGACCCTTCCCTTCTGCACACCCTCCCCCACACTGCCTTCTAGCTTCCCTTTTACCTTCTTCCCTTCCACTCCAGGTGTTAGTTTCGTCACAAGCCCCTCCTGCTATTAATTGCCCACCCCCAAGGATTTAGTGTGTGTTTTGAGGGCAGGGGACACTAAAATCCCTCCCCCATCTCTGGTCACTGTGCCAGACACTCCCTACACCCTTCCCTGGCTGCAAACACTCCATTTCCTCCCCAGAAGGCCACCCACCAAGCTCGAGGATAAAGAGAGCAAAGAAGGCTTTCTCCCTTCAGTGTAGTACTCATGTGCCCTTTAGCTGACAGTGAGGCCTCTCCAGTCTGTAACCATACCGCTTAGGTCATGTTTCCCAAAAGGGCTCAGTGATCTTCAGTTAGTAAAACCTCCCTTCTGCCGGTACCAGCAGCTTCATTTCCTTCGCACTTTTCCGGTCTTTCTTCTCTAGTCCTTCCCAAGCGTCAAGCTCTCAGCTGCACTCTCCATATCCCCCACCACCCCTTACAGGGACGATCTCCACCCTGCCCAAAGCTCACCCCAGGGGCAGGATCGCCCTGGATCCCTCAGGAGCAGCAGTGAGACATACAGGAGGACTGTGAATCTGCTTTTGCCGGGATTTCCCGGACTGGCTTCCATTTTCCTCTGATGACTGGGTGATAAACAAACTCCTTTCTTTGTCACGCCTTAACTCCACCCACCCATCAGCTACGCCCATCAGCCCCTCCTACCAGCTTGCTACAGTGCAGCAGCCCAAGTGCTGGGTTGCTGTCTACCCATCACGCATTCCCCCTTTTTATTTTTTAAGGTTTGATGAGCAATTCATGTCTAAGAGACCCCAATATCCCTACAAATGTGCCCTAATATTGTCAAATGAGCCATCAACATAAGTAGTTTGAGCACAATGCTGAACACACGTTGAAGGATGTTAAAAGGATTGAATCCTTGTACCTCCTATAATAAATCTTTGGCTAGGGCAGAAGGGGAAGTGAATGCAAGATGAGGAGAGCCGAGTTACTGAATTAATTGCCTCAGTGTTAATAAAGCTAAACTAACATTCTTGTGATGCTGTATTCCCTGTAAATAGTTTTAATTAATCCCACTTCCATTCAGATTCATTATAGTTTACAGGAGTAACACAGACATATATAAAGCCAGCAGGATACTGTAGAGTTAACTGGTGTTGTGTTGCTTGTATGCATCCCTCGGTGCAATACCACAGCTTCTAAAGCATTTAATGAAACTTGCAGATTTGTGTCTATATATCCTTGGGTTGCCGAAGACACAGAAATATTTATTATAAGCACTCTGTTTAACAAAATGGGCAGTTTGTACTTGTTGGGTGGGGAACTCCCAGGTAGTGCTCCCAGGACACAAGCAGTGAGTCCAATATGACAGGATAACCAGGTTATAATTGTTCATTTTCTCCAAAAGTCCACAGGCACTTGTACTGCTCAGGGCTGTGGCTAACACAGCAGTTCTCAACACGTGACGCAGGACCCTTGTGGGGTCAAATGACACTTACACAGGGGTCACCTAAGACTGTCGGAAATATCAGGTATTTACAGGGACAAACTTCCAGCTAAGAAGTAGTGGAAATGACTTTATGACTGGGGGTCACCACGACATGAGGAACTGCATGAAAGTGTTAGGAAGGTGCAGGACCACTGCTATCACAGAATGTGGCCCATGAAGGTGTCCTAGGAGGTTATCTTCATCCAGACCAGGCAGGCGCCTCCAGGACAAGTCCGTCAGCACCCCAGGCTGTCCACTCAGAGACAGAGTTCTTTAGAGCCCTGGAGCACACTATTCAAGGGGAAATTTCATTCTGAAATGCCGGCAGCAGATTCTCACTGCACACTGGAAAATGTCCATCCACTGGGGTAACTTGTGAGTAATTAGACACTGAAAAACTCAAGTGATGAATGAACTGATGATTTTTGAGAAACTGTACAGTGGATCCCTCCCAGACTCCAAAGTCATAATCCCTATGGGTCACGCAGATCAGAGGACATAATGGTATTGACTCACCAATGACAAATACGAAAGGTGAATGATATCCCAGTATAGTTACAGAGGGCAGTGCAGGGACCACAAGAGAAACATTCAGAATATAGTTACCTCAGTCTGAAAAAGCCAGATACTTTAAAATACACCTTGATTTGACATACATTATTCAGTTTTTTAAATAATGGTTGATCTTAGGAGCTTTAATGTTGTATATATTATTTTTTAAAAATTTTTTCACAATTTTTATGTACTTTAAGTAACTTACTCAGATCTTTATAACATATAAAAAACTTAAAAAGTTTTTAGTTATCTATTTTGTAAACATATTTTAATCTTTACATATAAGTCCTTATTAATAATTTTATTACATCTTTTATATATGCTTTTTAATTATTAAGATATTATTATCTCATATTTATATTTTATTATTTAATACCATATCTTCAGTGGCAGCGACAGTAATTTGTCCCGTGATTTCCTGTTGAAATCTGCCAATCTCAGAATGTTAGCTCTCTTTGTTCTATGTTACTGCTCTGTTATCAGATAAAAACTGTATCGAAACTGAGAAATAGATATCAAAATAATAACAAACATAGTCTTAGCTCTGGGAAGCTGAACCCGTGGGTAGCTGAGAGAGAGCCATTTAGAAAATGAAAACTAGAGGATGGCAGGAGAAAGTTAATTTTCCAAGTCTCTCTAAGGAATGTCACCAGCTCGGTTTTAACTTTAACTCTGTGTATTTTGGTCTCTTTTGTTCTCCTTTTCCCTGTTACAGAGCCAGGGAGCCTGTCTGGTCCAGGAAAGGGGTTAAGTAAGCACAGATCCGAGGAAAAACATGTTTGAACCTGGTGTGGGAGAGCCAAACTCACACTCGGGAGTCACGATAAGACGGTCCAGAAACAGCGGCGGCTGGGTTTTCACTTACTGGCCCATTAGCCCAGTTAGTATCTAAACTGATCACAGCGCCTTAGACGCTCGGCCATCCTGAACTGAGCTGGTAAAACCTGCTGTGTAAAGACTGTGAAATGGTCTGGGATAGTGCGGGGCCGCAGAGCCCTGCGGGACGCTGCGCCTGGAGCCTGCTGCCGCCATGTTTCACTGCGCCCTTCTTTCTTCTCCACTGTCAAATCCCCTGTTGCAGTACAGGAAAATCCGGGAAAAAACGAGCAATTCATCTCTCTCCCCAAATACTTTAGCTGGGGTCTCAGGTCCCTCTGGCTTCCACAAATGAAGTAGAGAAAGCTTTAAGAGAGGGCTTCATAATCCTTTGTGTGATGAAGAAGGAGGGACTCTTGGCTCAGTCGTTTCAGTAGGAACAATTTCAGGAAATTTTAAAACTGTATCATTAAAAAACAGAGAAGCTTCCTCCTCCATCCTTTGGGTGCCACCATCGGAAATTTCCTAGGAACACCTAACCACAAATTTATTTTTGTTGCTGCTTCAGAACTGTAATTTTGCTACTGGAACGGGCACGGAGTTTGAGGAGCACAAAGCGAAGTAATTCAATTACACTGCTTCCTCGTTCTCAGAACTTTTATCTGTTTTTTTTTTTTTTTTTTAAATCTTTAGTTCTGGTGTCTGTTTTGGAGCAGAACTACCAGATGTACAGATTCACAGATTCACAGGGGTGTTGATCTACAACTAATCCCTTTCACGCGCCTTGGGTCTGAGCAGTTTCCTTTCATATTCCGCAGTGCAAACCTAGCAATATAAAACTGTTTTTGTTTTCAATTTACTTATTTATTTTTTTTAAAAAAAATTTAAGATTATTGTATTTTCTTACAAGAGGAACATTTCAATAAACTTTACATGCATCAATCAACCCCTTTTCAAATTGGGCACACAACAAAACTAGCACCGTGAAGTTTTATTAAGATGTGGATTTTGAGCTATCAATACAGATACCAAGTTACTACACAAACATCCACAGGAATTTTTCCCATTAATTTTTTTTTAAGAATCATTCACAAACATTTCCTACATAATTCAACACACAGCAAAGAAATGGTATATCTTTTTTCTTTCCTTGTGCATACAATGGAAACACAAGTATATATATATATATATATGTATATATGATATGTAATTTTCAACTTACAAGATAGTTTAAATCTATAAGTGAGAAATTATCTAACGAAAATAACCAGGATTTACTCGGCATTAGCCACTGCCATGGCCAAGTGTTATTCTGATCAACAAAGTTCACTGCCCCTCACCTTCTAGTATATACTTAAATATGTATATTTAACATAATGGTCAGCTCTTATGGCAGTGCTTTCACCTAGTGCTCCACAGCTAACACAGAACATTGTTGAAAGAGCAAACATTTGCACAAACCAAACCCCAGCCTTCTTAGAAGCACAGACACGAGATGGAAATTTATCAGGCCGCTTCTTTCCAGCCTTTAGGAAACCACCCAGACTGAATTTGCCAATGAATTTCGCCTATACCCAAAAGGTACACATATCCAACGAAGGAGCTGAAAATCAGACTTAGTGTTTACTTTAGGAGTGTGCTGGAAAATTCAACCACCATTTGAAAATTATTTTGGGAAAACAGACCACCAAAAGCAGATTTACTGAATTTATTTTAAAAGTCATAAAATGTTTCTTATGAAAGAATCATTACATTCTGCTCAGCATTCTGAACAAGCCAGGGGCATGTGGCTATTACTTCCTGAAAAGTTTTTACGTCCTGATAAGCCTCTCCACTGACACAATAATCCAAATCAGATCAAATTAAACCGAATTAGAAAAAGCCCAGGTTTAATGGCTGTCAGCGCTCCCCTTCCAGGGCCCCCAGGGATAGAGACAGGATGGAAGACCGGGAAAACCATGCGTTCATTCTCTGGGGGGCAGTTTAAACAGCCTGTGGGAGTGTTTTTGATCTTTTCTGGGAAGGGATCACCATTTGACTGGCTTTCTTGGAGGTGGAGTCTGGACTGAGGCAACTCCCAGAGGAGGGGGCCTGGAACGGAACTTTCCACCCAAACATTCCAGACTCCCAGACACCTGGATGCCAGGGGCTAGGTGAAGCCCCAACCCAAACATTCCAGACTGTTTGAATATAAGGATGTCAGCGGCTGGGTGAATCTTTCAACCAAACACTTCCCTGACTGCCCCCTCCCCCACCCCATGTTATAAAGCATGATCATAAATCAAGGCGTTCACAATAATTATATGGGGGATTTTTTTTTAAAATCACCAACAATGAGCAAAAAAAAAAAAATTCCCTCACTCTCTGGTTGTTTCAAAATGTAGGCATTGTTTTTTTTTTTTTAAATTTATTTATTTATAAAAATTTCCACTTCCTGCCCCCCCCCCCACCCCTTCCCATTACCCCACCCCCCCCCCCCCCCTCCCTCTCCAGTCCTAAGAGCAGAGCAGTCAGGGTTTCTTGCCCTGTGGGAAGTTCAAGTTCCTCCCCTCTCCCTCCAGGTCTAGGGAGGTAAGCATCCAAACAGACTAGAATCCCAAAAAGCCAGTACATGCAGACAAAACAAGACCCAGTGCCATTGTCAATGGCTTCTCAGTCAGCTCCCATGTCAGCCACATTCAGAGACTCCAGTTTGATCACATGCTGGTTCAGTTCCAGTCCAGCTGGCCTTGGTGAGCTCTCATTAGATCAGTCCCCTTGTATCAGAGGGTGAACGCACCCCTCGTGGTC